CTTTTGAGAGTGAAAAATGCCGGTAATGCCCAACAGCCTGGTCTTTTGTACGGAGTACGGTCTTTTGTTACAGGGCCCTGTTTCCTTTGTCCGAGTTCGGAGACCCCGGCCACACATATAAACCATACGGCTCTGATTTCAGAGTCCCCGGCTGGTAGTGGTTAAGAGTACCTGGGTACTTGGTGTTGACATAAAGGGAGTACCTGATTCCAAAAATTTGGGATAAACCCCAGAGTTCGGGGGGGGGCAGGGTGTCAACACTGGTCAAGTGATGTCTGTGTACATGTTAATGTACATGTGTGGAACTTTCTCCTATGAGTTCACTTGCGTGAAGATATCCCCTTCTTAAATTAAGGCCTCATGACATACATGTAGCGTGATCAGGGAAGTCAGACCTCCTTCTCTAAATGTACATGTACGGTATGTGGAGCAAGTTGAGAAATTTTCTACAGCTCTGTCTTCTAAAGTTTGTATTTTCTAGACTGCATACATGACATGTATACATGTAGATGGGCCAGCCCAACAACATCACTATAGTAAGGACCATCCCAACCGTAGTTGGGATTGATTTTGCTGTAGTTTGGGCATACATTGTCACACCCTACTGCCTTTTTAAAGATTGGGCTATGGCCAGACCATCGAGGAAGGAACTCCATGCCAAATCTTGAAATGCAGTAGGCAGTGTGTAATAAGTTGTTGCATTGAGACATGAGTGACAACTGCTTGGATTTTGCTTTAAATTTAGTTGTAACATGCTGCTGTGTCTTTTTCTTTTCTTTTATTCCCTAGGGGGACGTGGACTTGTGTAATTGATATGTTATTTTTTAGTAATTTGGTAATTTGTTTCCTCAAATTAGATTGAGCACCTTGAAACTTTCACAGATCATCTCCCCGTAGATGTACTCCACATTATATTAGCATACTACATGTATACTTGAAGTTAGAGCGGCACAGCTAGTGAAATGGCCAACATTATGATATGCAACTTACAGAAAATTGTTCTGTATGAAACCAAAGCAGTAAGTTATTTCTTTTTTTTCACTTTATACATGTTATAGCACAAGATTTTTTTTCTTTTGGCAGTCTGCAAGACACACATACACAGAACACAAAATGGAAAATTACTCATTTGGAGTTTTAAACTGGTATTGCTAATCATAAATTCTTACTTGGTAGGTACAGTGCATACAGTATATGCTCAGTGTTACACACTACAATGTATTTTCTCATTTCTTCTTTCCCTTTTTTTTCCAGCGGTTTTACGTGATTGGTTCAAATAACACTGAGGATATTTTCAGAGTGTTAAAGATTGACAGAACAGAGCCATGTGATCTGCATATCAGTGATGACAAGGTACATGTACATGTATAGAACAACATGTGATTACAGAAACTACTGTTTTGTGTCAAAACAGAGTAAATCAATGAGTTTACCGGAGTAAAATTGTAAGCATATTGTTTTACAAATGATTTCACAATATTTTTATCAAGCTTGAATATAGTCGCTCTGAGGTCCAAAATTTACTACGAACGTTGGAGGTTGGGAACCGACCAAAGCAACAAGGACAGAAGGGGACTGCCGGACTAGCAAGGACTGTTTCTGCGTTCGGAATTCTTGGTGAGTTTTTAACTTCATAAGTAGCACTCTGTTTCTGACACAATTCTGATACAATCAAGTCAATGGAAATATTACCTTTTGTTTCTAATATGCCCTGTTCCAAGTCAGTATATTGATTCACTCTTGATAGAAAGTAAATTATTTGGCAAAGAATGAAAGGGTCCATAAAAATGTCCATGGAAAAACTGTTAATTCTTTTAAACATTCACTACTATGCCAGTAACATTATAGGGTATGTAAAAATGGAATACTATTTCCTTTGCTGTGGTTAATTTTACGAACTCTTCAATGAATGTTTTAATCCTGACAAGTGATGGTGCAATGGGTGACCTACATTTGAGAACCCAAATTATAGTCAGGCACCTTTTTCGTTCATCTAGACCCAAGAGGAACGTACGGTAGACATCGGACATGCACAATTTATGTGCCTGCAGAATGTTCGAACATAAAATACATGTCCATGTCTACGATACCCACACACATGGTAAAAGTTTGTGCACATATGGTTTGGCCACCATATGAGAAATTGCATAGCATATTGAGTGAAATAGCGTGGGTCGATTTGGAAAGGTACCCTTTGTCGTTGGCATTTCATGAAAGCTCCACTTTGTCTTTGTTCTCAGGCATTTTGTTTAATTTCCCACAGATGGTGGGCACAACGTCTGACTTCAGCAAAATGAGTTGTACGTATTAGGAGGAAAACGCTGTCACTCAAAATGCAGTTTGGAGCTCTCTGTCAGCCCTGACTATTTGCTTTGGTCAGCCTGACTTTTGATGTCCAAATTTGTCTAAATTTTACTGTTAGGAAAGTTTTGCAGGCTTATCCAATCTTTATAGGTGTTGCCGTTGCCTGTGGTAACAAATCTGATCAGCGTGATCTCTAAAACCCCAACATTGGACTGAATATTCCAAAGTCGACTCGAGATATGCATTGATGCGCTGGTGGCATGTGACGATGTCCTCTCAAAAATGCATGTCACAGATATTCAGATTTTCTATGTTAGTGAGATTCCTCTCGGGGGCAGAGCCATTTTGCCAAAAACTTTTACATTTTTTTTCTCCCAAATATAACAAATAAAACCACTTTTCATGGACCGTGTAAATTATCAAAAAGAACTAAGTCAACCCTGTGAGACATTACTTTTTCATCACTGCCTCTGGAGTAATTTCAGTTGGCCTTATTTTAATTTCAGGATTTGTCAGCTTCCTTGAAGGACACTACATCATCCTCATCACAAAACGAAGAAGGTAAATTAATTTTATTCCACCGTTTCTTTTATGAAATACTTCATTTTATTTGATGCCACTTACTTTGTTAATTTCTAGGGAGAAAGCAAATGGTTCCTTTTTGCTTTCCAGAGTTGCTGTAATAGGAGGCCACACTATCTACAAAATAGAAGATTCCAGCATGGTGTATATTCCTAATGATGCTTGCGTAGCTGCCAAGGTGCCACACCCTGATGAGGCAAGGTATGGCAGCTCTCAAGGCTGATAAGTCTTGACTAATTTCCTTTGTGAAGTTGTTCAAGTTGCCAAATCAAGGGTAGTGTTCTATTTTGAAAGTTAAATGTCTCATCAGGTTTTGAGGCATGTTCTTCATATCTTATGAGATGTCTCAAGTATGCCATTTATTAGAAAGTAATTGGTTTCCCGGTGTTTTTCAGATATGTCAGAAACTTCCAAAATGTGGACCTGTCAAGCAACTTCTACTTTAGGTGAGTCCTGCTTCATCCAATGAAGTACTTAAAACAAACAAGAAAGTCAAGGAATCCCTCTGAGTTGGCTTTATTAGGCCAACGTTAGTAAAAAAAATGAAATGAAAAAGATGAAATGATTTTTATCCTGCTGGTGGTTTTTCTTTAGTGTATTCAAAAAAGTAGTTGACTGTAGTCAATACATTTCTCCTCTGACCCTGGATAAGTCACTTGTTGGGAAACAAATTGAACTTTTTATAAAGTGTTATGCTTTATTTTTTCTGCCCTCTGACCCTGCAATATTTCATGGTACAGTAAACTCCAGCTAAGTCAGCACCCCCGGGACCCCCAAATTTGTGACAACTTGTACGAAGGCCGACTTCTTCTGTAAGTCGTCAGTTTGCCGACTTACATGAAATGATGACCTACATGCATGTGTTTGTACATGTATGTGATTGGGTTGCAACACTCAAAATATGTACATGTAGTCCGAGCAAGGAGGAAGGAATAGACACAATGAAAACATGCAACATGGTTTGTAATGCTCCAAAACTTTGACATGGGGATTGGATATTGTAAAGTGCAGTGGTTCATCAGTGCAAACGGAGTGCCTACCGGTACATGTATGCATGGATGGGTAAATGCTGAATTTGTCTGGCGACAGCCCAGTAAACAAATCAAGCTCCACTGGACCACTGAAAAATACGTGCTATAAAAACTTTCAAAATACATGGAAGCAGAAAATACCTACATGTATCCATAAAAGGGAATTTACATGTAGTTCTGTGAACTAACTCATTCATTGAAGTATTTCAGATGTTCTGATTGGTTTGTGTTTTGGAATGTGCTTCGAGTTGTTGCGGGCTTACCACCGACTTATACAAATGATTTTGTTGTGCTTTTCGTAGAAATGGGACCGAGAGTAGCACGCTGACTTAAGCAAAATGACGACTTATAAAAGCCAATTTAGAAATAAAATTTTTTCAGGAAATGCATTAGAGACAATCAGGACTTTCGTTAGACTACTGACTTGAACGATTTGCTCAATTGTACCATGTCGACTTGGCTGGAATTTAATGTAAGGCTGTAATCCAATAATTTAAACAATGCTGGCTTTACTAGTGTACGAAATTCACATCTTCAAACGTTATCCACATATTTTTGTTTGATTGATAGTTACAGCTATGATCTGACTAACACACTTCAGCATAACCTTACACCAGTCATTGGTGTCCCTAGTGGCACCAAAGAGCCACATGGTAAGATTGTACTCTCTTTTCTGTCAAAGTTTTGAAGATCACTTCTATTGCATATGTACATGTATGTAATATACTCCTGCCATTTCTACCAACATGTATTTGTAGCATAATGCTTATAATGTGAAGCTGTTTGCTAGAGCCTTGAGTCAAGAGACAGAATCTGTGGGTGGGGTTATGACATTGAGCAAGAAGTATGCATTCTCTTAATATGCAATGCATATGTTAATGCCATTGAGAGTTTCAACTACATGTACCTGTAAAGTGGGTCTGTATTTTGATTTCAATCCTACACATTTAGGTCCACAAGTGTACAGACCACAACCAATGATGAAGTTTGTGTGGAATGCCTTCTTATGGAGCCACGCCTGTAAAAATGTGCATCCTGACTGGGTTACATATATTATACATGGCTTCATTGGCCAAGCCAGTATCCTTTGATTAAACAGGCTGATAAGGTGTTTCTGACATTTAGTGGCAGAATGTTAATTTGTCTGCAACTTGCCTTTATAGTCATTTGGTCATGTTAAAGATCTCACTTGGATTGGATGGTACAAATAGAGTCAAGTTTTTAAACAGAAATGTAGAATGTGGAAAAGGATTGGGCACTTTTTACAAGAAGTTATTGTTGAGCTGTAACTTGATTTAAGATGTTTGTACCTTCGGACGATCTATCTACATTGCTCTGATTGCGAGGAGGTCTAATCAGTTTGCTGGAACCAGATTCCTGAAGAGAGGAGCCAATTCAGAGGTGTGTAGAGCATCCTTTACATAGAGTGTACTGAGAGGGGCCCTCAGGCAATTGAGGGTATTCACTGTACTTTGTTCAGGGACACTGCCAGTCCCCAGCCTAATTGCATTGAATCCCTGGCCTACATGTGAATGCCACTGCACTGTACAAGTACACATGTACATGTACATGTATTGTGTGCTACTACATGTACATGTATTGTGTGCTACTACATGTACATGTACTTCACACACCAGGAGTTTGAATTATGAGGGTTTTCAGTCTTACCTTGACTCAAAAAACACTCCAGTTTATTTGACCCACTTCCCAAGAGAATCTTTTAGAAGCTATATATCACCCAGATTTTGCTAGGCTTAGCTTACATGTATTGGTTAGCTCACAGGTTCTACTGTTGGAGTAATCATACCGGAGCATTGCCAAACATTGTTGCATATGCATGATGCACACATGCACAGTGGTCAAGCATATGTGACACCTACCTGAGTAATTGGTGTGGATATTATTGTTGATTTTTTTATTTTAGGTGCACCTGCACTGTATTATGCAATGTATGCAAGGAGAAATGATAAAAAATGACCAGAGGCTGGACAAGAATACAGCTTCCCCACAGATATCCATTTACAACTTGTTAACAGTTGGAGTTTAGTGTTTCAGTTGGCTGACGAAGGTGACTGGGATTAAAGAGTTGCTGAGGAATATAGAATTCTTTCTGACTGGCACCTTGCACCATGTCCCTCCACTTGTATGATTAAAGATAATTTTTTGTCTTGAATTAGGGTTACGTTGCCAACGAGGTAGAGACTGAACAGATTGTGCATGATGCCTCCTTGACACATTTCAAGCGAGGGCACTATACCTCATTCGTTCAGGTCCGTGGCTCAGTACCAGGGATGTGGTCTCAGGATATCTCCAACATGGTACCAAAGCCTCCAATCAACTGTGAGAAGCATTACATGTACTTTTCTCTACATAACAGGGGTCAAAATTAATGGTGGTCTGCTGGCCCGGGCCACCCAAAAATTCATTGGGTCACTGCATTCTCCCAAAACGATGGCCTGATGGGACAGTGGTTATTTGAGGATCATTGCCACATTTTCAAAACTTTCATAACATTTTACGACTCGTGTTTCAAACCACCAGCGCAGCACTTTCCACAGTCCATGCGTCCAAGCTTGTGTGCCACACACACACAAATAGTGGCGCGACATTCTGTTCACTGCCTGGTCATTCATACAGCTTATGCACATGTTGCAGGCACCTGCCCTAGTATATTGGCTGGTATCATTTTCCAACAACGCCAGTTTAACGTAAACTCCCATGGACATCAATGAAACCTTCAAAGGTCGCGTCTTGTCGAGTCCGATCGTAAAACCTCGAATAAAATTTGTTAACACAAAAAAATACATATATTGACGTCAAATCAAGTTCTGGGAATTAACTTGTAGAAATCTTCCTATGACATCATTGTTTTTCGATGTGCAGCTGTAGAGTTGCGTGTGTGCACGGTGAGTTGTACAACACTATTTTGATCGGGATACATGGACTGGTTGCGTTACCATCACGCCTTCTTTGGCAGTGGCACGGCAAACGGGAACAAATGAAGCCATGCTTCTGTGCATCCAGCAATAACACACTGGTGTTTTCACCACCGTGATAATGAAATTGCAAAGGAACTTGTGAAAATAATGGAACTTTCTTTCCAAATGTGGCAAATGTAAGTAGGCAAACAAAAAATACAAGCTTTTAGATGTGAAAAAATTGTTAAAAGGTGTTTTATGAAGACCGAAAAGACAGGATTTCGTTTTTTTTTTTTGTCTTTTTTTTTTGAATTTTTAAATGTGTATTTCTAACTGAGTGATATGAATTTTACAGTCGTGCCAAAAATTTAGGATCGGTCATGTAACCAGAAGCAGAACTAGTTTCTTGGTCTTAAAAAGTGTGTTTGAGTCCAGCGAGGCTATAGCCAATAAGCTATTTTGGTAGAGAAGTTCGACTGACGAAAATGGGCATGTGTGGTGGGTCTGATCAACTTCATTACCTGTACTCAACCCGGGCCACTAAATTTTCACAAGGGCCAGTGCGGTGCACTTCCCCAATGGCCTTGCAGGCCACCAAGAGATTTAAGTTAATTTTGACCCCTTCATAGACATTTACAATATACAATTATAATTATAATAATAATAAGACATTTTTATAGCGCCTTATGTAAAATACCCCAAAGTGCCTCTCAAGAACAGTAATACCTAGATGATATATAACTCAAGTTATAGTCAGCTTTACGGTTGACAGGGAAAAGTGGACGCCTCTTGTCACATTTGTGTAAGATTCCATGACAAATAATATAGGGATAAACATCTAATTGGATGGCTCTAAACTACTACATTTTAAAACCAGATGGGGGTCTGGGGATGAAATGGATCAAGCCAAAAGGTGAAGGTCATTTTATTGTTGCCAAGCCCTTGCTAGTTTTTAAATGTACTAGCATGAAATTAACCAATCACTCTTTTATTCCCATTCATAAATACATGTACCTTTTTGAACAAAAAGTAACAGTAACTTGAAATTTCATATTGCTAGCAGTTTTGTCTTTCAATTTTACCCTTGTGATTTAACAAATCCCCTCTAGCCACATCTGTTTTACATATATGTGCCTTGCATACTCAAATCTCCTTACACCGAGATTGGTGTGCGTGGCATATGCTGTAACGATGTAACACAGAACACAGTTGAGTGCAGAAGGAGATTTCCACTCTATGAAATGCAGACTCGTTGGTAGTATTGTGCATGCCTTCGTGACAATGACTTTCATGTATGAAGACTAGAGTCCATAGGATACAAGTTTACACTTTATAGGAAACTGGGAAAGTGTTAAAACCAGTTGGTAATTTTTATCATCTCTTAAAACCACCCACTCGACACGATCTTGACCAAAAGGAATGGGTAAACTGAGGTATTAATGAACAATTGTTGATGGCCTAAAAACCATACTGTTTGGTATTATTGATATTAATGACCTCGATATATACATGTGTGGTTGGTTAATGTCAGTGGACATGGCTGATCCCTATGCCCGTCTTGCTGGTGGCCACTTCAATCAGTTGCTAGGACGATACGGATCACCAGTCATTGTTATCAACCTTGTCAAGGCAAGTATGGCACTGATGGCACATAATGATTCTACAAGAAAATAAATTGCAGTTAATCTGTCTCAACCTGAAATATTAGGGTCTATTTTGAAAGTAAACTATTTGTTTTAATATCTAGAAACGGGAGAAGAGAAAACGAGAAGCCATATTGAGTGAGGAGTTAGAGTCAGCTATCAAGTACCTGAACCAGTTCTTGCCTCCAAGGCATTCCATACGATATATAGAACTAGACATGGCAAGATTTACCAAGAAGTAAGAAATGTTTTCTAACTGTACAAATACAGAACTGCATCCCATCGGATTTCCTGCCCCATTTGTCATGTTTGTACCACTGTTGTCACGACCATCAAAAGTCCCTACAACTCCATCACAACTCATCCAGCCATGAGCCAAGTCACAAACTGTTAAAATGAACTGCAACAAAAGCATTCCTTAGTTGTTTACCTTGTTAATTACCTATGACTGTTTTTCTGAAAGGACTTGTGATGGACACGGTATGCCATATACTGGATTGGTAATTGAAACAAGCATGCATAAACAGCCAAAAGACTGGTCCCAAATAAGCTGTTTTATTTTTGACTCTACCCAAAGACTGAAGTTTTAAACTTCAAACATTGTCATTCTTAATACTCTGAAATAATTCTGGGCTTTCTTCAATATGTCCTGTCAACAGCCCCAAGTTGAATGTGATCAACAGACTGGATGCTATTGCCGACATGGTGGTCAAACAGACAGGACTATTCCTCAGTGGACCACACATAGAACCAAGCTTACCAGTCAGACCCCAAGCAAGGTAACACTGAAACTGTAGTTCATGTGAAAAAAACAAAAGCTAACACCATCAAAAACGGCAAAAAGGGCAAACGAAATAGGTGTCAGTAGATTAAGAAATGGGCATAGTAGAGGTAGTAGCAACAGAAACATTACAAAATTCATCATGTTGGAAGATAAAATCATCAGCGATGTACATTTACATGTATGAGTAGGGTTTTTAACACTTTGAATTTTTCCATTTCGTCTAGAATTTTCCTTTTCAAAATAGCTGAATTTCCTATGAGAGTAAAAACTCAGCTAGATTGAGCTTTTTCTGATGTAGCATACACATGTTTAAGCTAACATTCCAGTGGGAAAAGTCTCCAATGAGAAATGAGAATATGTCTTACGTTCCTCAAGGAACAAACTTTTTGAAATACTGCTTGAAAAGAATGGTATGGAGATGCCCAGCCTTTGTGCCAACAATTTGATTCTTACATGACTGGATTTCAAAACGGGTGACTTTAAAATTCTAAACTTAGATCATGTTGTCTACTACGTCATGCTATCCTTTTCTGTAGGTGTGTCTACCCCAATGCTGATGACTGCTTCACATTCATTAAGCAGATGGGGACAGCTAGAACCAACTGTGTGGACTGCCTCGACCGTACCAATACTGCTCAGTTTGTTATTGGCAAATATGCACTAGGCCATCAGGTTAAACACTTTGTAGACTTCTGCATCACCCTCATGGCAGCAGGCCAAGACTCAGCTGCCATGTTCAGCTGATACATGTTCAGCAATTTTTTTTTTCAAAGTGATCATACATGACTAAGTGTATTAATAGTTTTCAAATTTATTATGCATTTCATACATCAGTGTTACAAATGCAGATCTCAGAAATAGCTCGAAAGTTTCTCAAAAGTTAGTGTTACTTGCAGTTGAATGTAACATGATGCTCTTGATGAGATCTTTCTAAAAACATTATTTTATTGTCTGATTCTTTGTGTCATTTGTTTCTGTAAATTTAAATTGTTGATTAATTAAGAATGACAAGGTTTGGATTAGGTTTCATCAACTTGCAAAACACTGACCAGTTGATTTCATTTGTTCTACAGCTCTTCTGTCTTGGTGTAGTTGACAGCACAACACTTAAATTTGACACTGATGCTGTTCGGTAAGATTTGATCAATCAATTCTGCCATAATCATAGCAGACTTCCAGAAGACCAGGCTGTCTTTGGCTGTTGGTACCAGCAACAGATTAACCACTTGAGCCAGGGGTTTTTACAATGAATAAGCCCTAGGCACCAAATTGTGGTATTTTTGATAAAGACTAGATATATGTACATTTTACTATACATATCAACAGAGGTCTATATGACGTCATATGCCTCAAATACTGACTCTTTAGTGTCATTGCATCATGTTTGTTTGATAATTCTTGCTGTCATTTTGTCTTTTTCCAAAGCTTTATCTTGGAGTGATATTTGTCATGACAACAGGCTTTGTCCTCTGGCTAAATCTTGGTGCCATGCATGGACAATTTCCATGGATTTGCCAGATAGCGTGTGTGTGTGTATAACCAGTGGGAACCTCCAAAGTGCAAGGATATGTGTACATGTCATGCACTGCTGAGTAGACACCTTGGCAAAAGCCATCTCCTGCATGAACTGGTTCATTTGGGAAACCTTTATTTTGCACAGAATGCTGGAAGACTTGTATGAGGACATGGGAGATACTTTGGCCTTGCAGTACGGTGGCTCACAGCTGGTTCACAGCATTCGCACCTATCGTAAAGTGTCACCTTGGACCAGTCACTCCAGGGATATTAAACAGACATTGTCTCGCTACTACAGCAACACCTTCTCAGGTATATGTGTCTATATACTTGTATATTCAGATCACTGTACCAAACCCGATAAACTCCCAACAAAATTACATTTACCAAACCTGCCAAAACCAGCAAAACCTGATGTTGGGAGTTTGATAGACACTGGGCAGTTAGGGTTGATGATGTTTCAAGTCTGTTTTGTCCTCATTTTTGTCTGCCTTTCATCACAAAACGTTATCTCCCCTCACTACTTCCAAGATTTTATATATTTTTTTATTTTTCTTTTTTTTTCTTTTTCTGTTTTTAAAGAAATTTTTGAACAGTCTCAAACATGTTGAGCCCCCTCCTCTTGGCTAGAACTGTCTTGGCTTGGTTTGATCAGTTGACTACACAGTCTTTTGCCATCTTGTCAACATGTGTTGTAAAAGTGCCCATTTTCTGTCTGCTTTTACTGATCTAACACCAACAGATGCAGACAAGCAAAGCGCCTTGAATCTCTTTCTTGGGGTGTTCAGACCCCACTTGAAGGGGCCAAGTCTCTGGGATCTACCCACTGATTACTACCTCCATCACAGTGAAGCTGCAGGACAGATTATTAACAGACCTAGGTCAGTACTGTCAAGAAATGTTCATACATATACTAATACAAAATGACTGTGAGTAGGAATCTTAAATGTACTGAATATGCGTATTGTCCATTTATAAATTAGTGTTTGTGATAGAAGCTCAGAGGGATATGCATGTACATGTAGTGAAACTACCCAACGTACTCTAATGGACTGATCCTGTCAAACTCTCAGTTTTGGGAAGTTGCTTATCAGCTTTTTTTCACTTTATTTTGAATTGAATAAAACTTGGTTTGAAAATCAGTGAACTGTTTCAGGAGAGGAGAACTTCACTTTTGAAGGAGTGCCTGCTTCCCGTCATGCCACATCCTCCTCAAACACTGCCACAGATTCACCAGTAGAAGCAGAAGTACCAAGGATATCATGATATCCTTGGTCATATTGCTTTCACTGGTAAATCTGTTGCAGCTATATCTACATGTATTTACTGAACTACATCATGCATAATACCCTTTTCTTGTGAGTAGATTGGGCAACCATTAAATGCCATTGGCAATGTTGGAGCTGGCATCAATACAAGATATTTGCAGAATTGCTTTTGCATAGTATTACAGTGTATTTGCCAGACCAACATGCACATGTAGGTGAACAAGCATGTCTGTGCATTCTCTTGTCACAATGGATATCGTTGCTGTAAAAAACTCTGGTTCTCTCACAGAACTCATTATTAACGGAAAACCTTTACCCCTGCATACAGTTACACCCAGTGGTTTGACATCAGGAATATCCAATCCCTGCCTCTCCCCTTCAATGAACTGGAAAAGTCCCTCAGTCAACAGGATCAGTCTGCCATTCTGCAGTCCACCCCTCCTGCTGAATGCATTGATCCATACTTTGATTACTATCGGCCAGCTGAACTGACCTCCCTTCAGGAACTTTTCTGTAGTAACATGCCTCACTCTGTAAGGTCAGTGTAAGACTGGCTTGTTGCCAAACTTGTTTTAAGCTTTACCGACCCATTTTCCAGAAGTAAAGCGGTGGAACAGACTTTATCCTCACCAGGCTCACTACATACATTTATCAAAATAAAGCCTTCAATTGTTATTTCATGATGTGAAGGTGACCTTAAGATCTCTCTTATTTGACCATACATCCATTTTATGTCTGACATTAGCAAGGATACTCTGTGCATGGCACTGAAAGGGTAACCCTCTCAATACTTCATTGTTAATTCATTTTGTCTGCTGAAGTATCACTCTTCTTTTTCTCTCATGCGAAAATGACCAGAGTATGATGAACAGACCACATATTGAGCACCACACTTTTGCAGACAATTTCACCATCAAGAATCCATTAACCACTTCTTGCAGGGTGGAGTTCACACATGCGGGACGCATTGCCGGGCAATTTTTCATGATTTTCTGTTTTCAACAGGTTCAAAATTCTTCAAAAATTCATGTTTTCATTTACTGGATGCTTACCCTAGTGCTGCAAGTAGGTGCCAAGGTTTGGTTCGGGTTTGGTTGGGACACGGTTCGGAAATCTTTTACCGAACTTCGGTTCAGTTCAGGTTCAGACTTTTACACACATGTACATTCGTCGAGACATCAAAGAGTTTGCTACGAACGTACGTGCTGTATATAGTACTTCCGTATATATGTTTAAATACAAGCAATGAATCTCCTCTCCATCCCATCAATGAGTAACTTCGATGTGAACATAATTTTTTTTCCAAACTGTTTCCCGAAATTTTGTTTAGGAGTCAAAATTCCTTGTAGAAACTTACCGTCGAAGTGACAGTTTCCAACCGTGTTTTACAGACCAAAAGCATTTGTGTTTGGACAACGCTTGACTCAACAAAACGATCACAGGACATGTGAAAACAGAAAAAAAACCAGCATGCTCAAACAGGAGTTTCCTCCTTTAAAGGACACAAGATAAAATTAGATTTCCTGCGAATCATATTTTCATTAGTTTTCACGAAACAGATTCAACTACCAAACTATGCGTTTGATGTGTTCCAAGAACCTTCAGCATTCTTTCCCAAGATGATGCCCACGTGGCCAAAGGGGCGATCTTCCTTCAGTCTTTTTCTAACGGATAATGGCATTTTGTAATTTGAGATTTGTGAACAACTTAGAGATCTGGCAAAATTCCATTACACTACGACGTTGATCAAACACGATCAAATAAAAGGCAATTTAGGCTACTGCTCGAACCAAATCTTGTTCAGCGCTGGATTGCTGCACCAGCCTGCCTGGCAAAATTGCCTTCGATCGAGCACAAGTCCGACTGTAATCAGCATCCAATCAAAAATCATTTTTCATGGCCATTTACAACATCGTTGGCCTAATATGGAACGTAAGGATGTGGCTATCGGAGATTGGCAAACATAATATCTGAATATACATAAGCACAATTGGATGTAATGAGAATTTAGAATTGTTGTGTTGCATGTTCTCCGTTGATTATTAGTGAATTCTCACCACATGCTTTTTACAACCATTGCGTGATGCGGGGCCACCGTAAGTACTGTGCATGTACAATGTACAGTGTACATTTACAGTACCTTCCTAATGCACATGTGCTGAGCGCTAGTGCACGCTGGGGTGGCAGAACTCGTTGTCCAGTTTTCGTTGTGTTTGCTTTTTTATCAAGTTTTCTTGCATTCATTCTGTGCGCTAGTAATGCCATGCCCTATTAAAGCCAAACATCCGAACCGACCAGTTTGGTTAAAATGGAAAATATTGAGCTGGAAATTCTTCCATGAGCATTACTCTATCATATGCAATAAACATCAAGGCCAAATGTACCACTACATGTTTTACTTTACCATAGAAGACATAATACAAAAGGGACAAAGCATGTTTCACGCTCCTCAATGGTCAGTCCAAAGTTCTTGTCTTAAGTTTCTGTGCTACATGTAAGTCTATTGTATAGCAAATGTGACTGAGTAGACTTCATGCACAAGCACTGCTACAGTTCGCCTCAATGATGACAAAATGAGATGTGACAGCTACTTGGTCTTTATCACACAACAACTACGAAGGATGGGTTTGCTTTATTTTATGCACCCCCATCCTTCTTGTTTTGCAAATGGTATATTTGTGCTCACGTTCGGTTTGCACAAAGTGTGTACTCCACACATTGCTTGGACATCTGTCATTCCAGCACAGAGTTGATATGACTAAGAATAAAACTTGTTATACAATACCTACATTAATCCCTGTCATCTAATTGGGGGATTGTTGATCACATGTCATTGAGTTATCTCTTCTAGTCAACAGTAGCCATTGAATAGAACTTCATTTCACTTGACTGGTTCCCATCCCCATTTTGTATATTTCATTCCCAGAGCGAGAAAGGACAATAATGTAAGGATGGAAACCAGTCTAATATTGCACAATACTACCAGTGGGTAGTGCTTCAGACACAAATCTGTTTTGCAAAATGAAGAACTTGAATACGCGAGCAGGACCTTTTTGTTTTCCAAACTGTAGAGGATTTATGCATTTTTTTTTAAAGTTAATGTATGTTTCACATTTGTGCAGTGGAAAGAATGATTTCATAAAATACTCCACTCCATTCGGCTTCACCTCATAGAATACTACATTTCATCTGTCACCTCATGAAATTATTCTTACAATTGCCTCATAAACATTCATTATTTGTAAACAATGCCACTGTAAAGAACACAGTGGTGTCTACACAAAATATTGAAAATATATGTACAGGTAATGGTTGTTCGATATAGTAATTTTCAGTCGTTGATGCACACGCTCCCTTCTCCAGCCTGTTCTTAGGTGTGTTGACCTGTCTAATGAATATGTCTGCATGTGGATTTGTGGCCAATACTTGTATAAACTTACTCGCTAAATTGCAGCTAAAATTTATGACACAGAAACTTTGTTCCATGTATGTTGTTTTCCTTTCATATTTCACCTTTTAGGTAGTCTTCACTGGAAGTCAATGTGTAAAGTGAAATCAAGTTTTCCTTGTCATTGCAAAATTTATATGTGACAAACATGTATGGTACGGTTGCACTGGTTTCCCGCTGTTCAAGTGGAACTATAATGGATGGGTTGGGAACCAGTCTATAGTACTGATACTCGTATCACGTGGCACATGTCAGAAGTTGGTAAAGTGTGAAATGTTGGCCAAGCATTAAAATTAATTGTAAAGGATCAAAATTAGCAATAAAGATTTCTGTGAGTTACGGCAGAGAAGCTAATATGTCTATCTGCATATTTTTATCTATTTTGATGTAATTTTTTTAGGTGAATATCCTTACCTTTGCTATAATGATGCAGACTTTTTCTGCATGAATATCAACCATGGTGCATGTACTCAGTACTGGCTAATATACTGTATAACCCCCTGTACCTGAATGCACATGAAAGTTGTATATGTGTCCACAAAACACGTGGACTATGCTGCGTGTTTGGCGCTGTTCTTTCTCAAGTAAGATACATGTACATGTAATTCATAACTATTGAGTAAACAATATCATACTAAATATTATTCTTTGATTTGAAGTAAATGTTCAATGTTTGGTAAAAGTATATGGAAAGATACCCGAATGTTCGGTAAAGGGGTGTTCAGTATGGCATTGTCATACTCTACCGGTATGTGTTGTTTTGGTACCGTTTGTGGATACATGTACCTTGTTGAGGTAACTTGATGTCAGTGAACACCAGGGTTGTACGGGATCTCCCCTAGTGAAGTTGAAATTTGATGCATTTTAGATACAGTCTAAAGACATAATGTTTGATTAACAGCCATGTAAGATACATTTTTATGTAAATCTTCTAATGTTTTGCTTCATTTAAAGAAATCCATGTACAGTATCATTGCTACATGGTATTGTACACCAGGCTGCAAGCAATCTACATGTGTCTGGCCACCGTCATGCTTCAAAGTTATTTTGCTGTTTTTCCATTCCCATCTTGTATTTCCTTACAGAGATTTCATGCCCAAGACAGCCCAAAACTTCAGTCCATTCTCAGTACGTGTTAGCCAGTCAAAGACAAAAGAGGAATTGTTGAGGTATACTGACAGTGTTGATCATGAAGGCGTAAAATAAATGCACTAACATCCCGCATGTTGACAATGCTTATCCACATACTATTCATTGCTTTGATGTAAAGTTCATCTAACACATGACAAAACTTGCAAGTTGCAAGACATTATGCTGTAGTTTTGCTAAGGGGCCCCTTGTGCCCTCTTTTTTAACATTGCACTTCTTTTTCTGAATACTTTTTCAATGTATGTCTTTTTCTGCAAATGTTTAGTGCATTTGGAAAGATGCATTTTGATAACTTCCTCATGTAGAAAGTTACAAGCTTTTTTGGTAAAATATTAATTGAACTTTGGGGGGAATGAATCGACATCTACGTTTGAGCACTATTAAAATTAATTTGGTCATAATGGACAAAGTTTTAGAAAGTGATTTCAAATCAGCAGTCAGCACCTGATTCATGAAAAAGCTACACCCTTCTTTCACCATTTAAGGTGTTAAATATTTAATCTTTTTTACAATGGGAGGACAAATGATCTTAGTTTCTGTGTTTTTGCCAGGGTTTAATATGTACAGCTGTCACTCATTTCTACAGTGGTCTTTTTATCACAGCACTGACCAGAAGGCTGCAGCTCGTGTCACTGCTGAAAGACTTGTCACTGCTGGCTCTCCTAAGACTAGTAGTGACTTACCATCATCATCAGAAGGAACCAGTAGCACTGATGAGGAGCTGTCAGAACCAAGATCAGTTGCCAACATTGGAGGCAAATCCCGGAAACAGGAGATCTACATGGAGGTACATTGCTTTCAGAATGTATATCACCATGGAAACAAGGACGCAAGGTAATACACAGACATAAACAGAGAATAGGAAGAAATTTGATTTGTTTATCCCTTTCTGAACTGCAGGATCTATTTCCAACCACCAAAGAAGTTTATGGTGTGGCCATTCAGAACCCAGAAAGACAGGATATCTCCATATATCAGAGGTAAAGTTCTCAAAGAATTGTTTACCCTGTTGGTTAATCGTCCAATTCATGAAGAGTACAGTTTGTAGTGAAATTTTCACCCTGAAAAATTAGCATTTTGATGAGTACTTCTTGGCATGATGTAATATTTAAAATCAGAGAGAAATGGGATATGTGAATGTAATGTTAAATGACTTCATCTTGGACTCCACTAGGTTTGTGTCTGTGGACCTCAACTCTAGAAGTAGTTGTCCTGATGTGCATTCTGTCAGTGGAAGGGTTAAACGATGCATGAAAAGAGCTACCAGACTGTAAGTACATACATGTAGGAAATCAATACTTAGACAAGACTGACAGATAAGACCACCAAAAGGCAAAGATTCTTTGAACATATCTAGGCAAGTTGAATGCTTTGAAAGAATAAGCCTTTTGACAGGAGCATCCCCGCTGGGGCCACCCTCCCCCAAGTCTGGTGTGAAAAGGCCTAGCAAAGATGTTGCTTGGAATGTTTCAAATAGTTGTTTGTTTTGGATCAGATGATTGCATTAATGATTTCCAGCTTGCACCCTTCTGAAAAAATTCAGCAGCCTGAACTTGGTTTTCTGGAAGGTCCAACCAGGATTTTGAGGATCTCATATCAGCTACTGTTACTGCCCTCAGTGGAGTTTGTTCCAAACTTGGCATAAAACTGCAGACGGGGCTTGACCTTTGCTTGACTGGGTGGCCAGTGGGCTTTGGCTATAGTTTTCTCAACACACATCCAGTTTCATTCTGTGCTCAAAACTAGTGTAGCATTCCATTTTGACCAGTTATTAACTCACAGTTTCCCCTTTTGATCGGTCATATCGGTACTTGAACACCCAAGTTACATTAAATTTTTGAGTTGTGGAGTCGTTGTGTGGGCCACAACTTACTCAGCACGCATGTATGAAAGCCGCCTTGCAAGTGCATGAGTAACACTATGCCATAGAAAGTGTTTCACGCAATATATCATAAAATGAACATGAAGTATATGAAAAATTGATGCTTAATTGCCTGTGTTCACATTGTGACTTAAATCGTTCCCAAATCCTCAATGAATCTCATAGGTCATTGATCATGAAGTTAAAGTCGGACTGTATTTTCTCATGGACGTAGATGACGGTGATGTTGCCAAATACATTGAGTACGTGAATGAAGGATCAAAGTACAGTAACTTTGCTGTTGGAATTCTGCCCTTTTATTGCGAAGGCAAATCAAACTATGTACTGAACTTCTTCATCAGAATTCTGCCCCCTTATTGGGAGGGCGGATCATAGTATGCACAGAACTTTGTTGTCGGAATTCTGCCCCCTTATTAGGAGGGCGGATCGTAGTACGCACTTAACTTCTTTGTCGGAATTCTGCCCTTATTGGGAGGGTGGATCACAGTATGTACTTAACTTTGTTGTCAGAATTCTGCCCCTTATTTGGACTCGGAGAGTACATCAAAGCGTGCACTAAATATTGCTGTCAGAACCCTTCTTCAACAAATGATCTCTGTTTTAGGCAACCTTATCAATGTTTTGTCTATTCATTGAGGAAGAAAAACACTCCTCCATGGTCTTTTCATACACATTTAATGCCTTTGTGAGTTTTCACAAGTTGTTGGACACAATCGATATTAAGAAATTTTGGTAACTTATTTTACATGTAGCTTTATAAAGCAATGCTGGTTTTACTTTTTAACATTTGAGCTGCTGTGTAATCACCCACGGACACCTTATAAAGTCCATAAACAAAACAATCAATTTTGTTTTAAAAGGCCTACATTTTATTTCATTTTTATTCCTGCCGATGTGCATTATCAGAGGTCTGATCTTTAAGTCTGCAGCCACTTATCTGTAGGTTCAACATAACCCCATTTGACCACATTTGCTCACATGATGATCATTGGGAGGGAATACTTTAACTCAAGCGGGGTCAGCATGATTGGTAGTGGGTGAAGGGAAACTGGTTTTTTTTTTTAAGTTGGTACTCGGATCAGTCGACCTTTCAGATTCAAAAGTGAAAAAAATATTTTTTTTATTTGTAAAAATCAGGGATCCACCAAAAGCAATTTACCGATGTAAAAAATACTATTCTCTGTCATCAAAATTTCTTCTTTAAAATCTGTGCACCAGCTTATAAAAAAAGGCCTCCATTAGGTTGTCTTCTACCTTTTTTGTGGCTTTTGTTTTTCAATTCATTCTGCTCAATCAGTATGTACTTTTCTGTGAGAGGAGACCACAATTCAAACTCAATAGAAGCTTCCTTTAAAATAATCCTTTAAAGCCACGATTATCGAATTTTTCTAGTCGAGTTTCCCCAGTAAGATACACAAAAATGTATCACCTTCGGACCAGTACCGTGTACATGTACTCAATGATATGTACTGTGCATTGCAGTAGTAAGTCCAACCACAGTGCATACACATTATGCATAATGTTCGACTGTGTGTATGGATGAAATAAGACAGTCCACACGTTGGTGCTGCGTGGCGGTTGTGGAAAAGTAGATCTGGCAGGTCAGACTGGCCACCCGCAGTGTGTTGATGGATGGCATAATTGACAGTAGACAAGGACGCCTTCCTTACGGTATAGATTAAAATTGGAATCCTGGCTGCAGAGAGGGCCAGATTTTTAAAAGAGAAATTTGCCCCATGAATGGACTGGTTCCTGAGGAATGTCTTTGGTCATTAATTATTCACCATTAACTCTGGTTTATCAACTTTTCATCTTCATCCGATGAATTTACCCTGGATCAAATATGAATGCTTTTCAAAATACAAAATATTGCATATTTTAATGCTTGAGGTATGGCTGTGTTTTATTTGGCAAATAATAAATTAACGAGTAGTTCTTGATCTCTTTGATAGCATTCCAAACAGTGTCTTCTCATTGGACAGTTCTTATGAAGTCACTCCACCCACTCTTAGTCGATCATCACGAGCCATCTATGAGGCTTTTGTACTCAAAGGAATGGTGGGTGCACAACCAGTCTTCTGTAAGGATCAAGATATCTACAGAAAATTTGTCAAGTATAAAAGCATGTAATGTTGAGCATCACTTTGGTCTAGGTACCAGTTTTGACTCAAGACTATCATACCAGCACAGTTTGTGCCATGTCTTACAGGCTTTTTTCAAATTTGTGGTAACATAATGACACCACAAAAATGCTTGCACCCACTTACCCTACTTACACGCCTAGAGGAAACAGGCAGTGGCTTAACTTTGGTCAGAAATATATTTGTACAGTAAAATATTAGTAACACAGAGTTTCACCCAGACAAAAACCACCTCAAAGGCTAAAAACGAATCTTGTCCCATCTTATGAACTTGTTCAATACTTAATCCTCATCAAGTGCAGATGAATCCCTTGAATGGAGTAGATTTGAAATCATTGAAGTGATGAAAGGTGCAATAGCTCATTACAGTTGCTTTGTTTTCAAAGCTCCATATAAGAAAAGCTCTATTGCTCTCAAGCATGTCTGTCCTTCTCATTTCTTAAGACTGAGCTGAGACTGATCTTTGGCTATTTTAATTAAATTACTCCCAGATATTTTCTTTATTTCAGTACTTTTTTAGCATTGGAACAAACCACTGCATAATACATGTATTGTATTTTCCTATATTTTCTTCTTGTCAGCAGTTATCATCTTTTACTGTCTCTTGTGACTGATAATTTCAGTTTTCAGCTTTATAATAGCGCATATTTTGGTTAAGATCATTTCATTTGTAATATTTTCTTTTGTTATTAATGCTTGTATCATAAATTTGCATTTATGAAATTTAATGACCAAAATATATGCAAACAAAAGTTTTTTCAATAAAAGGTAGATTTGATCTCTGATTTGATTTTCATTTTGAACATTTTATTGATTGCATGATAAAATCCTTGTGATTATAAAATCCCGGAATATTTCAAATTAAAAGTTACTGGAGAACTCTGAAATTAAGTGTGCAGTACATCAGGGTGCTGCAGGGAAGTTAGTTGCGAAGTAGGTTAGGTTCCACAGCTGTCTGAGAAGTTACATTTTATTTTCCAAATGAACCAGAGACAAACTTCATGTGGATTGACTTAAGATCCCAAAGTAATGCCCTAATGACCATACTATAAAGTTGATACACTTTGAAGGGTAAGGAATTCACATGTACACATTATAGCTGAACAATCCAAGCCAATATGAATTCAAAATACCATTTATCTACATTTTCAGGAAATCAGCAACTTGTCCTGCATAGACCTGAGTGAACATTTTTAACAACTTTGCGTGAACAGGCCTTTGTAAAATAATGGAAGTTTACACACTTCATTAGTTGAAGACTAAAGCAGATACTAGTACTTCCAATTTTTCTGAAAGAAACATAATTGTGGTTTTTTAATCTTTGGCATAACTCATAACATACAAGTACTTCACAGTATCGCAGGAGAATAACTGATTGATGATAGGAAATACAGTTATCTTCCACAGATCAATTTTATCAAACTCACAACACCTTAGGATTTGTATGATAGGTCTTGTGATGGGTAACTACACCATAATCAAGTATACCTTTCTTGGACACAACCAACCATTCCATTCATTATTATGCGAGTCCAAAGTGAACTTTAAGAATATGTTGCCTATTTTTACTCTTGGAACAACAGTGCAAAGATTATAGCAATTTTCATTTTTAATTTTGTTTTTAAATAAAAGTGGTGGACACTTACTGTACCAACTTGAAGAATGAGCTCACATGCCTTTGGAAATGTCTAAACCTGGGTGATTTTCACTATCTTTGGTGTTCAAAAATATTCAAAAATTCATCTTTTTTCCTGAATGCCTGACCCCTCGAGTGACCGTCTGGTGACTACTCTAATCTGACAGACAACATCTATTGATGCCCAAGTATTTCATCCAGGCCTGCAGCCTTGTAAAATGAGCCCAGATTGTGCGGTGTTACGTAAGTTTCTTTTGTTCCCGAAACTGGCACAGTTCACTGCACTTTTGTCCCCAGTGGTAATCTACTCACGCTGAATGCCACAAACAGTGGCATAATCTTTTTAAAAAATGACTGATTTCCTCCGCTATTGATAACTGAAAAAATGTTGGCAAAACCCAGCAACTTGGTCTTTTGTTCCAAGTAGGTCTTTTGTTACAAGGCCCAGTTTTTTTGTCCAATTTTGGGTACCCTGGCTGTGCTTACAAACCCAAGATACCCGAAACTGCATTCCTTGGCAGCAAGTGGTTCGAGGTGAAGTGCCTTTGAAATACAGTACATGTGTATGAATTCAATTATATATAACGGGTTTGCCCTTACCCACCAACGTATATTAATAAGCA